ACGAAGCTTAGCCAAAGATTGAACAAGTTTTTTCAATGATGTATCCTCGATCAGAGATTGACAAATGATTTTTAATGCCTCGAGTAATTTTTATTTCTTTTTTTTTTTTTTATCTCTCCATTGTAATTCCATTTCTAGATGTAACGATTAAATATACGAAATTTAAGGGAATTTAATCAATTTGATCGAGTCGAATTCGATCCCATTATATTTAGACGCGGTTAGTTTAATTAAATCTGATTAAATGTAACGCGATATTAAATACATCGTATTTAATTAGAATTAATTACAAAAATTAAAAGATCGTCAGAACAGTTATTTATTTCAATTTTCGCAAAAATTTTTCTGCGAAAGATTGGAATTTTTTTTTTTATCAAAATAAGAAGCGTCGATTAAAAAATTGTGCAAAGAATTATTTTGCGCTTGAAAGGCGAAGAAACTGCAAAATGAATAACTGGAGATAAATTTATTCCGCTTTATATTATACTCTTTAATTTAAATAATTACTATTAATGACCGTAAAAAACAGGAAGAAGAAGAAAAAAATATTCTTCGAAATTATTCTATGCTCGAAAATATAACCATAAATTCAACATAAATTTAATTCTCTTAACGAAACTGATACCCATACCCAACACACTGTAACTAAAATTACATTTAATCTCCTCGTAACGGTATTATAAAGTTAATCTAAAACAAAATTAAATATTCACGAATCGAATAAAGCACGAGATACGAAAAAAAAAAAAATTCTGGAAAAAGAAATCAAAATTCCGCCTACTTCGTAAACCTAAAATCTAACCTAAAATTAAATCTACTATAATTAGAAATGGTTAGAAATCTAACACAACCTAAATCTGATACGTAACTTAATCTTACACATTTCTGAATCTTCATCGAAATAAAAATTTGAAATTCTTCTGCATCCCAATAAATAAATTTAATCTAATTTTACTTATATATACTCGTAAACGAAGCGAAAAAGAAATCAAAATTCCGTTCACTTCGTAAACCGTAAGTGGATGTAAACGTAATCTAACCTAAAAAATTAAATCTACTAACCTAACCTATATATCTCGTCTCCTTATAACGATATTAGAAACCTAACGTAACCTGAATCTAATACTCGTATACAATAACGTATAAGCGTAATCTAACCTAAAAGCAAACTTACTGAATCTTCGTCGAAATAAAAATTCCGCCGATAAATAAATTTCCCTCCTCCCCTAATTTCTAATTTTACCTCATAATACGATGTTCCTACTCTTTGCTCTTGATGAAATAATTCCTTTTAAATAAAATAGTGACGAGGGGGAACAACGAGGCGCGAAAATGAAAATTTTTGGAAAAATCGAAAGAAATATGGCTTCGTTATCGCGATGGGATAACTTCGATGGAATTTATTCGTTTTGGCTTTCCTAACGATCGCTTGTTCGCTTATCTGAACGTGCATAGAAGGAACAGCAATTGGCCGTTTTTAATTCCCTTCGGCTCCGAAGCAATCGAATTTTTACCAGAAATTGGAACGAAGTGGAACAAAAAAATTGACCATGCATGGATTTCTCTTTTTTTAAATAATACACGATGTGGTAAAATTAATTTGAGAAAATTAAAGGTCCTTATTTCGTTATTTTCGAAATATTACGCCATTTTTCATATCTTGAATTAATAGAGTCGAAAGAAACAAAAATTTTGAAATTTTCACTTTTTATTTATTTCTATAAGTTAATTTAGATGGAATTTGTTAATTAAAAAATGGATCGCACTAATCGATAAATGGAACACATTATTAATCCATAAAATTAATGGATTAAATGAATCGATTTCGTTTGAATTTTAAATTCCTGAATCGAATTAATTTCTTCGCGACTGGAGATTAAAATATTTTATTAGATCAAAAGGAAGAAGAAAATTATAGGCATGCAATTTCTCATCCCGAGTGGTCTCATCACGATTAATTTTTACGATGGAACAATTTTTCAAGCGAGCCAAGAGTATATATTTTATTTCTGAAAACAAGCAAGACTCGCGTGGAAATGTTTTATTTATCGAGAAACGAATCCTCAATCTTCCTCGTTTTCAAAGATGAAGTTACTTACATCAGGAGATAGCGATTTCTACGATACTTCTACGCGAAAGAAGAAGTCCTTTCACTGAAAATATCTTTCACGACCATCGTTTCAGTGCCAATGGCAAAGTGAATAAGATACTTATCCAATATTCTCATATATACTCAAAAGTCATCTGAAGCGACAATTTTGTTAAATAATTTAGAACGAGATTAAATTCTTCTTTTTTTAAAAATTAACCACTTTACAAACATTTTGCCAATACATTTGCCCGTCTATTAAATTTTCCTGTCCCTCCCTGTTTCTTTCGAATACGTTCAAAATTTTGCAAAATCCCCCCCTAAATTCATCCATCCAAGAAAACCAACTTAAATTACGCCTTAAAATTTTCCACTTCTCCACACATATTAAATTAACCACTTTACAAACATTTTGCCAATACATTTGCCCGTCTATTAAATTTTCCTGTTCCAACCCTCCCTGTTTCTTTCGAATACGTTCAAAATTTTGCAAAATCCCCCCCTAAATTCATCCATCCAAGAAAACCAAGCTAAATTACGCCTTAAAAATTTCCACTTCTCCATACATATGTAATAATTTATCAAGGAATGCATATCTCTTTCGCCGAAACTTTTTTCTTTCCATTCAAAATATTTCCTTCGACGAATTGAAAAATGGTCGGCAAATGGTCAGCTTTCTCGGATGTTCGAACGATGTCCCCTCGTAAGCGTTTCAAGGCAATCCTCGTTATCGCGCTTTTGAAACGAAATCTAACCAGGATCTAGCAATAAACCTTGCCTCTAATGTTCCACGGTTAAATTAGCATTAATGGGCCCGAGATTAATTCAAGCCCCGGGTACCGATCAAACTATTTATTATCGATAGAAATCGCAAGCTATTCTTCGAACGTAGGAGAAGAAGAGGGAAGGAGAATTCTAGCGCGACGACTTGAACGTGATTAACTGGGGATCGTTGGAATAGTTTCTCAAATACCTTTGAAATAATTTCAAAACGGGGGGAATGTATTAATATTTTTCAATTGTTCTGTAATAATCAAACTGTTTGTATTCATTCCTTTTTTCTATTATTCCGTAAAAAAAAATATAATAATACAAAAAGTAACTACCTTTATTTTTTAATTTGTAATTAAACGTGCGGAAGAATTTATTTTCGAGAAATCACGATTAATTTTTACAATTTATGTCACAATTATATGTATATGTCCTGTCAAACTTAATAAGCGATTCCCTTTTAATGGAAGAGGGGGAGAGAAGAAAGTAAGCAAAGGGAGGAGAAACGAAAGAGAAGAAGTTTAATAGATTGGAAACGACGAGACGAGATAAGTGAATATCTCGTGCGATGCAATTTCGAATGTATAAGGCAAGAATTTGTTTTGATACATATCTTACCTTTGAGTGGATGAAAATAGCCTGCGGGCAAATGTTAGCAATGTAAACGGGATATAGCAAAGATCCAAGACGCGAGGAATTTTTGTTTTCGTGGTCTTCGCTGCCTCTAATGTTGCGCGTTACTTAATAAAAACGAAGTGAAAATTGGTTTTGGTAATTAGAAAGAAAATTAAATAAGGATAAGGTCCAAAAGAGAAATAATAATCATACATATAATTATAATTCGAACTAAAGAGTTTTAATTAAAAATCATGACTCAAATTTACGCGTATTCATTTTAATTTCAAATAGATAAGATTATTCGTAATCGAAGAAAATCCATTTTCTGGAAATCCTCTAACGCGTTGGTTGATAAAAACGAAGTGAAAATTCGTTGAAATTAATTACACAATTGTAGATGTTATAAATTTAAACTTAACTTAAAAAATTTCGATTAATATTACGATTCGTTGCTTTTTTTTTTTTTCACATTATTCAATTGTTTCATTTTCATTTCGAGTAGGTAAGATCGTTAAAATTTCTAAGAGATAATCAAAGAAAATTCAGTTCAAAACAAAATGAAAATTGAAATTAAAAAAAAAAAAAAGAACTTAAAAAATTTCAACTAAATTCTAATGTTAATAATTCTAACGTTACAATTTTTAAACGCTGCATATTCGTTTACTTCGTATTCATTTTGATTTCATTGAGATAAATAAGTTGAAATTTTGTGTCCATTTAAAGAACAGGCTTAAAGAAGGAAGGAAATTCAGAAGGTTCGATCGATTTTCTGGAAATCTTCAACGTTTCAACGCGTTTGGCTCGCCAAATCAGTGTTATCACAGTGTTATCCTCGAGTTGCCGGATATATATTATCCACGAGAATGGATAATTACACGGTAGATATGCAAATTTCCAAGATTCACCCCTACAGACGAACGCTTTTGCTTTGCGGATTAATTTTGGGTTTAATCCTTTGACGAGGATCACGAGTGACGAGTCTTCTCGCAAGATTCATTGACGATTTCTCCATCCCCCCCTCTCTCTCTCTCTCAATCCACGTGTGTAATTTTTGAAAGATCTGCCATTGCATAGAAAATTTTCCAAGGAAAAAAAAAAAAAAAAAAAGAATATCCGATCTCGAGCAGAATGAAAGAATATTCTTTGCAATTTAACTTATCCAATATCAATGTTTTAATATCTAAGAAATTTGCAGAGAATTAAATGTGTATCCCCTCCTTTATGATTAATTGCACGACGATTCTCTTAAGCCTCGTCAAAATATTCAGCTCTTTGTTTTTCAAAGAAAAATAAAAAAAAATGTACGATTTCGAGCAGAATATTTTCGATCGAATGGAAGAATATTCGTTGCAATTTGATTTATCCAATATCAACCCTTTAATATCTAAGAAATTTGCAGAGAATTAAATGCGTAACCCCTCCTTTATGATTAATTGCACGATTAATTCTCTTAAGCTTCGTCAAAATATTCAGCTCTTTTGTCTCATTTGTAATGAGCGCATGGGAATTTGTTCTGTTTCAGGGGTACGAGGGATCCCTGTTGAAAGTCACAAGCAAAAATGGGAAAACAGCGTCGGTGAGTCGTTATTTTTTAAAATTATCCCTATTGTATCTTTCTCCGCGTGGCGATACATAAAAATATATATAAAAAAAGAGGAGTGGAAATAAAAGAAATCTTGCTTGCGTGTACTGTGGAGAGCGTACAAAGCGTAGGAAAAATGGAGAGTAGAAGAATGAAACGTGTAAAAAAAAAAAAAAATAAGATAGAGTGGTATCTCTTGCGCGTGTAGAATGCGAAGCGAAAAGAAAAGAAAAGGAATAATACATATATATATATATAATAAAAAGATTAAAAGGGAAAAAAAAATTCTTTTACGAACGATCTGCCTTGAATTTTTGTCTAGAAAGATAATAAAAAAAAAAATAATAAAGGGAATAGAACCGCACGGTATCTCTCTCTTCGTAAGTAAAATAAAGAAGAAAAAGAAGGATGAAAAAAAATTCTTTAAACTTTTCGTCCGGACGCACTTACCGACAAAAGTTAAGAGACGAGGTAATCGTTTGCGAAATGTATCTTCCTTCGAAATTGAATTGTAGAGAAAATAAAAATATAGATGATGGATTGATGCAAATCTATCGATCGATCAAATTTTCTTGAATACTTCGTTTGCTCAAAGGTTTCAAATAGAGAGACAGAGAGGAAAAGATAGAAGAAATTTGTCAACGATTAGCTCGTTCTCTTTCCGTCAGCGAGTGTATTTTTCGTGCGAACGAAAGGAATGGAAAAGAAGAGAAATGGGGGGAATTGTATATTCCTAAGCGAATAACATCGATTCCCTCTTACGACTCGAGAGATTTTTCCACGAGTCGACAAAGTGTCGAGATTTTCTTGCGATTATTCGACGCGGTGAGGAAGAAACTCGTCGTGAGCCGGAAGTTTCAATCGAGAACAATCTTTTCTTTTCCTTTGTTCGCGTTTTGTCGATTCAAAATCATCGTATTTTTTTTTTTCACCTTTTGAAAAATTATTACCTTTTGTAAATGACGGAGAAGAATTTTGTACACGCAACAATTTATTCAAATTTTATTTATTTATTTATTTATTTTAATCGTCGTCCATTTCGCAAGATCGAACGCGTTCGGTGAAAAAGGCTCGATCAATTTAAACGATCTTTCCATTCGAATAATAATTTATCCTGCCTAGTGTAAATTTTTTATCTATTATGTATCCTTCCCAAAGATTCTTCCTCCTCCTCGAATTCACAACGTGTCAATAACTCTCTCAATAATTCTTCGATAAAATTCGAAACGCGTGACGAAGAGATGTCACGATAATTTCATTTAAACTGGAATAAAGATCGGGGAACGATAATATCGTTTGGTTAGAGGAGATAGGGTCGCTGGCAAAAAGTGTTCGGCTCGGAATTATTGTCCACCTGGCCTTCTAAACGCGCTTCTTTTATGCGCTCATTTAAGCGATAACGCGACAGGGACAGGAGACGACAAAGAACCGTGTTAAACGTAGTTTCACGACTCTCTGTGCGTAACATATCAACCAGTCACATCACGCGCGAATATTATTAACACCGACCATTTTACCACCTATAATTATTCATTGTTACATTACGCTTTGTTGCCGATCCTTGTTCGCCACTTAAGAAAACTTGCTTACTGTTCTACAAATGAAGAGAGAAAGAGGTTAGATTAGGTTAGGTTAGATTATGCGCTAGTTAACATCGAAAGTAAGAGAATTATGATTTAAAAAAAAAAAAACCGATCGACGAAAAGATGAAAATAAATAATAAAATTCGATTGTTTCATTTTTCGATCGACGAGGATTTTAAAGATTAATATTTTCGAATTATTTCGACTCTCGAAGAATAATTGATGTTCCGCGGTAACGTGATAAATAACAAACAGTTTGTTATTTTGAAAAAATTGTTATTGAGCGAAACATCTCGGTTAATTTTCTATCCAGATAGATCAAATCGGTTTTCTTCTTAGAACGCGAGCAAAATTAAGGGGGAGAGGCCGCCACCCCCTTTGCCCAACGACAAAAAGGAAGAAAATGCAGAGAGAACGTTACGTGAGTCACGTAACGAGGGAAAACGCGTAATCGATTCGTGTGCAAAAAAATACATCAATTTTATAGCGGGTATGGAAGGCATCGTGGCCAGGTATACACCGAGATATACACAACGTTCAAACCGTGATAACATTAATTTATGCGCTGCCAGTGGCCAACACACGCGTAACACGCGACACAACGTTGCCACTTGTCCACGATGGGAAATCAAACTTTCGAACCCTGTGCTCTCGGCCGTTTTTCGCCTACAGATATGTGCACGGTGATTCGTAAATACGTTAATTTTTAACAGGTACGCTCCGAGAAATACTTTCCACAAATGATAATCGATCTTGCGTTGTTGGAATTAATATCTACTTTCCTCGAAAGAAGATTTCGAAAGAAAAATTTTTTTCGAGATACTTTCTTTCTTTTTCTCTAAATTCTTGGATTCTATAGATGATAGAAAAATTGGACTTTAACTTTGATGGATGAGAATTGAATTATATATAGAAAGAATTAGAATGATTTTTCTATTTGTTATTTCTTGAGGGAAAAATTGGGATCCCTCGAAGCGAGAAAAGGATAAAGCCTCGCATCGAAGAATTTGACTCGGAGGTTTCGATTCGACCTCGTTTCCAAAGGGAGGGTTTGTATATATGTGAAAATACGCGCGTGGTTGGAAATTCGAGACACGCGAAAAGAGATCGCGTGAGAACGGATGAGATGTCCGGCTCGAATCGAACGAAAATTTATCAACGCTGAAAATATTGAATTCGTTGAAAAAAAAGAAAAAAATTCCATCGATAATCCAAAAATGCGCGATATTACGTTTCGATACAAAAAATTCCTTAAGTCATCATTCGCCATTTCACTCTCTGTATTCTCTCTCTATTCTTATCTTAAACCTCGAGAAACGAGAATAGAAAATTTTCTAAAATTGCAATCGCTTGACTTTCTATAATTTCCTATCTAAAAGAGTTCCAAGAATATTTAAAAAAAAAAAAGAAAGAAAAGGCTAAATTCAGAAGAATTGTCTAAAATTATCTCTCGTATATTTGTTAAAGCCTATTGTTAGCAATATTTTTAGAAATTCTCGCGTTTGTCTCTTTACACATGGTCGGGAAAGAAGTCTTCGACAAACAGTTGAGACATGCGATGCATGAATCGATTCGAGTAATGGGTTTAAGCCAATAGCTCGAACAATTATGATATAACGTATATACAGTAATGTGATTTAAACCCATTACTAGGCATAAAGCGACCTACGGACTCTGAAACATGCGATGCTTGCATCGATTTAAGCGATAAGTTTTTAAATCAATAACGATAATTCCAGAGCTCGAACAAAAGGTTTATAAAATCAATAGTTCCGGAGAGTTTTTTTAAAATTGTAGGCGATGGATTTAAGTGAATAATCAGAATTGTGCGACAGCTCCACAGTGTTATATAGTTATGCGAGATATTAACTTAAACCCATCGCTAGATTTTAAAGCAACCTACAAACTTTGCGACTCGAGCGATGGGTATAAGTCGAAAGTTATACGAGCCATTAACTTAAACCCATCGCTAGACTCCAAAGCAATCTGCAGATTCTGAAACGCGCGACGATTAAGTCAACAGTTCCAGAGTGAGTGATGGATTTAAGTGAATGATCGACAGAATAGTTAGTGAATAGATTTACGATTGTACAAGCTGTTAACTTAAACCCATCGCTAGGCTTTAAAGCAGTCTAAGCTCTGCAATGCATCGTGCTCGACTCGAGCAATGGGTTTAATCAATAGCACCAGAGTTGTTGTGTGAGTTGTGATGGATTTAAATAAATATATAAATAATCGATAGTTCTAGAAATCGTGCGATAGAAGTTACGTGAGTTATTAAATTAAATCCGTTGCTAGATTTTAAAGCAAACTCTGAAACATGCGACGATCGACTCGAGCGATGGATTTAAGCGAATAGTTGCACGAGTTGTTCACTTAAACCCATCGCTCGATCGATCGAAACACGTCCGTGGCTCGACTTTTAGATACGATTTCGTCTTCCATTCGCTCGTGTTAATTGGCCCAATTCGTCGAACAAAAAATTCGAATCCTTTTATCGGTTTCACGTTGAATTTTCAAATCGATACCCATCGTTCTCCACAAGTTCAAACCTCTCCTTTCCAAGTTTCGATACTCGTGGTCTGTGGTCTCTTCTCTCCTCTTGTTTTTCCTTTTTTATCACGTAGCTGGATGATTTTGATAACGACGTGCAAAGAATTGTGATTGAACCGCGCAAGTGAAATTTTCTTCGATTTTACGCTTTCTTTTCACTCGCCTCTGAACGATATTAGAAGATTCGCTTGATGTACTCCACTTTCCATTATTCTTTTTATAGATCCAGATAAATTCCATAAATTCGATTTTCACTTGTAAATTTCTCTTTCTACGAGAGATTTTGCTTAGTTTTCCCGTCCAATTTTGCACGGCTTAGCTGGAATTTTTAATATGCCGTGTAATTTATTATATTCCTTTTTTATCGAATTTTACGAAAAATTTCGTGACGAGTTTTCTCTTCAGAAAAAAATTTAGCTGAATTTCCGCCAGAGAGATTTGTTTATTGAATTTTTGTTAATTAATTGCTACGTTTTTTTTTTATCCTCCCAAAATAGAAAGTTTATCGGAATCTCTATCGCAAGATTAATCGATAAGTCGGTTTTTGCCCGAAAATTTATTTAATTCCTCTCAACAGAATTTTAATAGAATTTTTTTTTTAAGTTTCAAGTTTTTCCCTTTCAAACGTATCACTCTTTTCATCACCAAATGCACGAACAAAAAATAAAAAAAATAAAATCAAAACTAGGAATCGAATCGAATTTTCGAAAGTGACTTACAATCGTCTCTCCTTTCCTCACACCTTTCCACCAATTCTCTGTCTCGTTTCTTAAGGATCTCGCTCATTTTCACTCCAAAAGACCGACGATAAGCTTGAAATGGAAATAAAATGGAGCGATTTGCATAACATTTTCGACG